CCAATCATGAGTGCGAGTAAATCCAAAAACACCACTCAGATTTTAACAAGACATTCATGATCCATACGGGGCCCTTCCAATCCCCCCCCCCATCTTACTTTAAGTTTCTTCCCTTTCATCCTCCATAATCCTCCAATCTGTTCTCCTGTTTCCTCCCAAATCTTGCCCTCGGTTATGGAGCGCATCGCTGACAGTAACGCTGAGGTCAATGTGGATCAGCGTACCATACATTCGTACATCATCTTTCGGGAAGTAAATCTTTTCCTCTGAGGGAGTTCCAATTGCTGAGCTCCCCTTTGGCTTAACGACCCAGAATTTGTTGGAATTTTTCTCTGACGGGACAAGTCGTAATTCACAAGATTCTAAAAGAAGCTTCTAAATTTCTGTAGCTCTACTGAACTGTTTAATGATAAACTTTTAAAAAAAAGAGGATGCATTTATATTTATTAAAAATCTTGTTTTCTGATTTCAACAATCTCGGGGGGGGGGGGGGGGGAGAGAGTCTTACATGTACTGGGTATGTCTTATTTGAAAATCTGAAGACGCACAGCCAAAAGATGTTTGGAGAAAATTACAAGACATTGGAGTTTCTTCCAAAGAGTGTGCATGACGTATGCAAATATACAATCTGACGTCATGGGCAACTTAAGTCCCCAAGTTGAACAATTTGTTTGCCAACTCCTGAAGATTTAAGATTTCCCTTGGTTGTCCGCTATCAACTTACAACAGCAACACACTACAGATATATGAGAAACGATATGTGAGAAATGATTTATGTGCCTGGTAAACATTTTGTAATTCAGAACATTGACTACAACTGCCGACACATTCCTTTAAACATGGAAGCAAGTAAAGCTGAAATGTCAAATAGAAAAGTCAAGTCAAGAAGAAATCATCATTCTTTTCGTTTAAAGTCCACGAGAGATCTTTAGTTATGCAAAGAAATGTTTGCAGTGAGAACCGTTTATGCGAGGTGATCTATAAAAGTCTAATGGGAACTCGGCTTCAGGAAACAAAGCGACGTTTCTAGAACAAGTTGACAAGCCTCAAAACTCTGACGAAATAGACTCCTTTAATGATTTTCCATGGAAATTTTCACTCCATCAGGGGGAAAAGTCTAAAATCCTCTCATTATCGGCAGCTTCGGAGCAAGAACGTGCCGCCCCCGTACACTCGCACTTTTGGCATTTTACACCAATTAAATTCTTCCCGCGGTCTGCTGAACACGTAGTGGTCACATTGCATGTGTCATTCAGCATCTTCTTATTACAGGATTCGCGGGATGATTGCGTTAATCACAGACTAGGGGATAAAATCGTAGACTAGGGACTGGCTCCACCAGCGGGGGCAATGAGTGTAAAATGGACTTCACATGTTGACACAAATGGAGAGGGGGGGGGGGGGGAGTAGGAGAAAATGCCAACACTTACCAGCTGAGAAACACACATGTACACACTTGTAAGTTCAAATTCTCAGAGGTAACGACTTTTGGAAAAGTACATACAGACATATCTCATTCTTGTATAACCAAGGGATAAGGTACAGCGAACCTATGCATACAATTGTTTTCATAAACATCTGCAGCTCTGGTAAAAAATAAAGTTACTCGGCACTTAGCAGCGACAAAAAGTCTCCCAGTGAAATACTGGGAGGAAAAAATGACTCATTTCAAAATGTATCAAACGACCAACCATTGAGGTCAGACCAACTGTCCTTTAATGATTTTACCCTCTTAAAAACTGTACACTTCACTTAGAAATGTCTTTTCAAATATCTTCAGGTCATTGGAAGTGTGATTTTTTTCGAGTTTTTATTCACATGATTCACAAAAAGGAGCCAATGAATATTGAGTTTTAAAAAAAAATTACCGTGCTGAACTTTCCTAAATGTAGCTAAAGCCAGGGATGTGTATGCGCTAAAATGACTCCTACCTTGCCTTTAAGTCACCCCTCCCACCACTGTACATAAACTAGGGCATCCTCTCCCCCTTCCTCCCCAAGCATGTTTCCGCACGTGTAAAATTGACAGTAGACTACATACAAGCATTTGCAGACACCGTTCTGCCTAGAGATGTCAGATTACGCATGGATGGCCTAATAGCCGATATTTTGTGACAGATTGTAAATGGGGCAGAATGCGGTACTGTAGCTGAAGAAAAAATAAGTGGGGCTTGTCATAATTGGGCCAGGAACTACTTTATATCCAGGGCATCACTTGGGCTGATATTCAAGAGTCATTTTTGACTTAAAGGTAATATGCAACATTTGCAAACATCAAAAAACAAAACTACCAAATTATTATGAGACACTTTACTTGACTGTAAGTGAAAAATAGTCTCAAGCCTCCTGTGAAATCTTGGCACCTGGTGTGCTGTCATTTTCAAGAAAAGTAGAATTTTTGTATCAATTTCCAACGATGATCAGCTGACCATCGTTGTAAAAAAAAAAGACTTTTTTTCAAACACTGCCCCCAATTTACCAAAGTTAGTTAGGCCACATTTTTTTTGCAATCGCTTACACAGCTAGTCTGGTTCCCTGACCTGAGAATTCCCAGAAGTCTATAAATTGCTCAGTTTCGTCTAAAGTAGGGTCAGGGAAGCAGACTACAAGAACAGTATTTTTTCTTGGTTTTCCAGCATCTAGGAACACAAAACTATTAACAGGTCAGTGTGACAATATTTGCTATGAAATATTAAACCCCAAATCCATCCATTTCTAAAAATGACAGCAAAAGCAAATCTTGTATATTAGCTTTAAGTACACATAGTGTCGGCAGTAGAAATTTTGTTCATGTTATAGTTGATTTTTTCACACCGGTACATGTTTGCTTTTTTGGAAGTGAAACATACACCAATTACATACCTGGAATACTTGCAAGTGAGCAATAAAGTACCTTCTTACAATTGTGAATACATTTCCGTTTTCCCTTCAATATCGTGATGTGTACATATGTACAGTATTTGCCCCCCCCCCCCTAAAAAAAAAGAAATACACAAACTAACAACCCTAACAAACAACCCAACCTACTGACCCTGCCTTTTTTGGCGATGTTACCAGAAACACAAACTTTATTTTTTGGGGCCTAGGTTTTATTTTACAGAAATATTTGTCCTGGGACAAACAGAAAATGCTTAGAAGTTAGAGTCCGTGCGGTAGAAACTAATCGAAATAAAACAAAATCCAAGTTAAAGCTTAAATTCCACACATACAAGGCAGCCGACAGGATTCAATAAAAAACTGAATGTAGCATTGGACTGCCCCAAGTTGTGCAATTAGAACGCTTTCTGAAGGATCTATGCAAAAGAGCTTAACTTGGTTAACTTACAGGAAAAACAGAAATGGCAGTTGTTTTTCTCCCAACATCACATTTTGATGACTGGAAATAAAAACTGACACTGATTAGTCACAGGAAATAATCCAACTTGACTTTCGGGAAAGCAAGATAATGTCTGATCACCCCTGGTGACACACAGGCCGGCAGTCTTGCCATTCTCATCCATAATTCTTTCTTCCCCGCAAAAAATCTGACACAGGCGCGTGCCAGGTCTGGCCAGCAACGACCGTGGACATTTTTCTCTTACTGTTCCTCTGGCTTCACAAGATGCAATACCTGGAATTCCACTGGCTACAAGCAGGGAACTGACCCCATGTAAACCCGTGAGCCATCTTTGAGACCAAATTAATACTTTACAAGCAGTGATGTTGGTCAAGACAGGCGTGCCTGGCACACGCGTCTCATGGGCTTACTGATATTCAGGTCAATGGGCAGTATATAGCCAGTTGCTGGATTCTTTGCCATGTGCAGTACACCAGCTAGAGCAGGGTACCGAGGACATTACCCTGCCACTTATGAGAAATGGGCACCGAAAGTGATACCTGCGTACATGTGGGTTTATTTACTAGTTGTCAAAAGATATGGGCTCCTCTGGAACGAAAATATAAACAAAGCTACACTGTCAGCTGACAGGTCAAAATTTATCTTGGGAAATGGCCTGATTATCTGAAGCACTTAAGATCTTTAAATCAGGATTCTTTTCAAGTTTCTGCTACAATCTACTGCGTACAATACCTCAGTTGACACATTCTTAAACAATACCAGTCAAGGCAAAACAAAGACAGAATTTGAACACAGAATATGTTTATAAAAAAGAAAAAATATTTACAAGCATGACCCACAAAATGGTAATAAAATGCTCTGGCTAAAAGGCGGAATACCTTTAAACACCATGTAAACTAATACAAAATGACAAACAGCAAAAGAAATAAATAAAAAAAAAAATGTTTGCAAAGAAGTCCTTACGTTGCAGTTGAAAACATGTAGCTGTACATGTATATTGTAAATAACAGGACCACGATGCAGAACGTAACCGTGGTCATCAATTCTTCCTAATGCATCAGTGCTAGTTTATGGTCCTGGTTAAGAGCGCCCTCTAGAGTCTAAATATTACTTAGGGATTTTTTTCTAGCATTGTGACATGCATCTGTGTTAATTGAAGCAGCCAGTTAAATAAAAGATGAAATAAATCGCTTTATTGGCATATGGAGAGGTTAAATATGTTGATTTAATTTATTTACTCAGAGCTTTCGTTTTTCATTACATGTGAAAATTAAGTTAAAGGCATGTAGGATCATATATGCTGTTCATGCATCTTGCTCACTTCCAATAATAACACCACTCAAAATCCAAAGAAGAATGTTCAAAACCTAACTTGATGAACTTTCAGCTCTGTGGATATTACACTTTTCGAGAAAACAGTGAAAAACCATGCACAACCTTTTGATCACGAAACGGGATTTTGTCCATAGCACTCTTTATTTCCAAAATTGACTGATCGCTGATAATCACCTACATTTCTTGATTTCTTCTTAATGACAGCGAGCCAGATGGATTCATTTCATTGGATGTTTCGTATCAGTGCGTTCTTTAATCCAAGTAAAATTTTCGATAAGAATTTGGTAGGTTACTTTTGGGATACATGCAATTGATCCTATATGCCTTTTAGATAATTTACTTTTTAGCTGTCAAAGTTTAGAATGACTTGTCACATGACTTACCATATGAATCAGGCACTCTTTGGATGTTAGTAGGCCTTCGTCAAAACGTCTCCACCTTGACGAGGGTCTTCCTGAAGTCTTCCTGGGACATGAGGAGGGGAGCTAGAAACTCTCTGAACTGGTCCAAGGACATGAGGGCGTTGGCATTAGGTCCCAACTTCAGTTCCTAGGTTTTCATCGGATGAAAAAATGAATTATCTTTTTGTCTGACAAAGAAATACTAATAAAAATAAGTATCTAAAATGCAAGGGAAATCTGCCAGAACATAACTGTCCATGGGACAATACATACAAATCGAATACATAGGTAACTGGAGAACAGTGGTAAATTAGTAAACCATCATAATTCCTTTAAAATTAACCCTCCTTTTGTTTGATCAGTCACAGACAGTCAAAAATTCAATCCTGTTCCCCTGCCATGCCTTTTACAATACACAGGCTAGTCACCAACAGTCAGATCATGCATGCATTTCTAGTAGGTGCATTCTAGCCAAATTCTATCAATAGATGCAGGCAATTGGTAGGCACAGCCGGCATATCAATCTCCTACGGTCGAAGCATAGCTATATCAGGTTTCATAACAATCACAGCCAGTCAATCCTGCTTTATGAAGGCAGGGAGCACTCAACTGTTAAAAACAGTCACTTGATTTATTTTGACTGCTGGGCTGGCCTTGTTGAAATTGCCAGCCAGAGAGGGAGGGTTTATCACAAGTCAATCCCACTTTATCCAGTCTCAGGTCAAGACACAAGCTTATCAAAATAAACTATAAGCACTCCTTTGTCACATTTATCTACAGTTACTTGCAACCTTACTTTCGATGTGATTTGTGATTGACCAAAAAAGACAACAAAAAAATTGACAAATTGCAAATATTGTGGCTACCTTTCCCAAGTGCAGAATCCGCACGAAAGGTTGTCCCTTGTCGTCTTGATACATCTCCACGATGAAATCGGAACACAGCCCGGGCCAGGTATCGTCAAAGGCACCCACGGCAATCAGAAGCGGGATCAACGTGGTGTCATGACAGGAATGAAGATGCAATTTGCATTGACTGATTGAAACAAGAGGACCAATTCAGAACAACTTATTTATAGCTGAATAAATTGTGTTACTAATTTTTGGATGTTTTTAATGCCTGTGGCTTTTTAAGCCAGACTTTAAAAGCCTACTTTTAAATATTGCTTTGTAGGCAAGTTCTGAATGAATGAAATTTAGCCAGAGGTTACAGGAATACCACTACATAACACCAGTCTTTGAATTTAAAAAGAAATGAGTACAATCACAGCCAAAAACAGCACGATGCTGTACTGTTCATGAAATTAGTTTAACCCTGACCTTCCCAAATCCTCCTAAATCCTCTTTGCAAAACGAAGGATTTTGCAGGATTGAGGCTATATGGCAAAAGTGTGTGGCTGACAACTCTGTTGAGCATCTTACTTGGTACTTGGTACTTGTTTGGTGGTCCTCCGAAATATTCCATCTAGGGAATTTAAACTGGAGGTGTGGCACCAGGGTTTACAATGTGCTGCGGCCACTGCCAGAAACACCGGGGCGAACCCCTTCTCTTAGCGACAAGTGTTTCTGGGTTCTTTAACGTGCATTACACAACACACGGGACCTACGGCTTTACGTCCCATCCAAAGGACGGAGCAATAGTGGTTAAGTGCCTTGCTCAAGAGCACAAGCACCATGTTTCCACGGCCAGGATCCGAACCCATGTACCATGGCACACGAGTCGAACACCGTAACCATTGGACCACAGCATCACCACATTTGACTAGCGAAATCAACACACCTTTCTCCTGTTGTGACTTTGTGCATGTTATCTATTATCAGGCTCAGTAACGAACCGACGGAGTATGAGAGTCTCTTGAGATCTTGAGATCCGTCCCCGATGCAATGCTTCATGATGTCCACGGCTGCTTTCTCCACAATGCCGGCTATGGGTTCCAAGACGGGGGAAATTGGGAAATCATGTGCCTAGGGGAACAAAATAGAGAAGAAAATTGAGGTTGGAGAACAGTAGACAACCTAACAAACATAGGACTTTGGAGGGCAAAATCAGGATAAAAGTAGGACTTTTGCGGGCTTTTAGGAGTAGTTTTTTGTTGATATATACATTGATTTCGTTTGGCATGTTCTGTACTCACAACACTTGCAGTACTCCTGCGCCCAGGTCCTACATTTTGTGATTTACATATGACAGTGTGTAACACCGTTATGAAAAAAAAGTCAATGAGATTTCCTTTTTTTTTGAGTTGTGAGACTTAAAAAAAGTAGGAAAAAGTAGGAATTTCAAGAAAAAAATATGAAAAGTAGGAACAAGGTAAAAAAATAGGCAAAACTAGAAAAAGTAGGAATACGCGAAATCCTGAACTCGGTCACAGGCACCGTGAGACATGTACAAATACCAATATGTCGGCGGGCTTATTGCCAAATCCAGAATTACCAATTAACCTATCACGGTAGAGTCGTGTCAACGCAGCTTGTGAAATATTGTCCAATGAAATGGACGTGTAACTCGCAAAATCTGAGACAAACAAAACTGAGTGTACAAAATTCCATCTGCGTTGTCCAAAGGACGTGCCTAACACGCGAATAGGCTAATTGACCTTTTGCCGTTTGTGAGTTGGCCATGCCCTTTAGATAACCTTATGGAGTTTTTGTACACCAAGTTTTGTTTGAGTCAGGATTTTGCGCGTTCTGTGTCTATTTGTAAATCATGTAATTGGACAGTATTTCACAAGCTGCGTTGACGTGATTCTACCATGATAGACCAATTGGCCATGATTCTCACCTGCCTGGCGCTCATCCCGTCCCGCACAGAGACCAGGTCTAAGTGAACTTTATCCACGTCCTGATCCAGAAGCTCCTGGACCTGCAGACGGACGGGACGAATACCAGGGACCACGTCTGTGTTCTTGATGGTCGAGAAATAGGAGTTCATCAGCGGCTTGGAGTAGGTGTAGTTTGGGTACAGGATTTCCGTCGATGCGTGGTCAACATGGACTCTGGGTAAACCTATTTTTTTTTTATAAAGGAAAGACACGTGAACAATACAACCATATGAATGAAAGATTAATGCTCATTTGCGATTTTTAAACTTGCAGATTAAGAGTTAGGATAAACAGAGACGGGTAATTTATGGCAAAGCTCATATGAATCATAAATTTTAGGCCTAACCATACAGAGATATTGTGAAGGTACAGCATTTATTAACCCTAACCCCCTAGGCCCTCTTGGCTAGGAACCATCCTCAATCCTGCAAAATCCTCCAATTGCCACAAACTTAAAATTGCATTCAGCCTCAATCCACCAAAATCATCCGTTGCTTCTTGAATTTGTTCAGTGGAGGGGTGACCATTGCCTCGATCCTTCAAAATCCTCCAACAATCACTGTTAATGGGTTGAGGCAGTGCCGCTGACATTCCGAAGCAGTGTGGATGATATCGAGCCTAACGCAGGGCTCAATCATGCATGGCTGAACATAAACAATGTCAGGTACAATCTCTGCACTCAACACAATGCATTCTCCAAAATCAACCTACACTTTTTTTGCCATTCAGCCTCCAGTTTCAAACCAACTGGAGCTTTTAGGAGGATTGGGGAGATTAGGGTTAATACAAGCTTGAACAAAGACGAGTAAGATTTCATCCCATGAACTCTGGACAATGACTTTCTAGAATTCTTCTATCATACGTATCTTGACATACATATACAAATACATTAATTTTTTTTTCCATATGAGTAACTTTAATCTATTCCTAAAAAAGTGCTGGTCCCCACATCTAAATAGATAAACTCTTCAACAGTTTTACTGACCGTTTTCATTCGTTTTCAGGTCTTCTCCGTACATGGCTGCTAATACACATGACATGGACTTGAGGTTCCGGTTGATATTTGTTGAACGCAAACTGTAGCAGAAAGAAAGACCAAAAGAAAAATAAAATATAATTTAAAAATATTTACACAGACAATGGGATTACATGTAGTTACTTTTAGGACCCCTCCATGTTTTGAACTCACCTAACGCAACAGCGGGCGAAGGCCAGGTTTAATATTTTTTTCTGATACCATGCTGTTTTGAGCCAATTTCTACTTTAGCTAAATTTGTAATTTCCTTTCTAAGTCATCATGGTAACTAACTGATACATTTATCAGAATTAAAATCCACTTTATGATTATAACTTATATTCTGCACACTGTTGAATTGTCCAAAATAACGTCCGACACCGTGGAATTGCCCAAGTTCCATTAACCATAATTGTCAAAACGAAAAAAGATGTGTTCAGACAAATTTTGTACTGCAAGTTCATTCTGTGAGAGCGAAAAAATTTAACATTACATGCGACAGCTCAAAATGAAATGGATAATTCATTGTGTCAAAGCACATTTTGTGTTAAATTCCACTCTCTGCCCTAGAAACAAAATTTGAACGATTTCCACAAAGTGGACATTTTCTTGGGAATTTTTCCACAGAATGCAGCAGAGTCTAGATCCACACAGCCTTCAAGGATAATGCAGAACTTACTAAATGTCGCTCTTGTTAAACCTCGGTGACAGGAATTGTAGCCTCTCGATGTAGTGTTTCCTGAAGTACGTGCCCAACTCGTAGGTTTGATTCATACCCAGTGTGGTCAGCTGTCCGCGGTGGGCACCACCCTACAAAACAAAGATCAACAGTTTATCCAAGACTTGAAAAAGGTTTTGCGTTAAAGGAGCCGATTTCACGAAACTGCTCTGCTGCTAACTCCCTAGATCCTTGATAATTTACTAGCTTTTTGAGAGGATTTTTGCAGAAAGAGGCCAGGCACTAGTATTTTACAGGGAACTGTTGCCACTTGAAAGTTAAAGGTCAATACACAATATTTGCAAAGGTAAAAAAAAAACACCCAAATTATTATGAAATACCTTACTTGCCTGTAAGGGAATGACATTCACAAGCACCGTGTGAAATCATGGCACCTGGCGTACTATCATTTTCAAGAAAAGTGGAATTTTTGTTATCAATTTCTGATGATAGTCAGGCTTTTTTTCCAAATAATGCCCCCAGTTTACCACATTTAGTTAGTCCGCATTTTTTTTGCAATCCGCTTCACATCCGTGAATGGGTACAAGCCAGCTAGTCTGGTTCCCTGACCTGACAATTCCCAGATGTCTATAAATTACTCCGTTTCGTCAGAAGTAGGGTCAGGGAACCAGACTAGAAGAGCAGCATTTCTTTCTTGGTTCTTTCAGAATGTACGAACACAAAACTTTAAACAGGTCAGTGTAAAAATATTTGCTATAAAAACTAACCCCCAAATCTATCCATTTCTGAAAATTGGAGCAAAAGCAAATGTTGTATTTTACCTTTAAAACTACAAAACTGTGTCATTTGGTTTCAGCACATTGAAAGAGGCTGGAGGTTTTATAAAAGTTTGTACACCTGTAGTACAAACAGTTATAAGCACAGTAAAAATGTAATTGATGTTATGCCAGTCACAATCCATAAACATTTCAAACATCAGATTGGTAAATTTGTCATGTAATCAGGGGGAAAAAAAACTCACTTTGAAAGTTGTTGCCTGCTGGTACGACTGCTCGATAACGGAGTGATGAGGGCCCGACTTGCCGTCCAAGGAATACACCTCATAGTCACACTTGAGGTGGTCCCCCTCAATAAACATGGTGTCCTTGTCCCATACCACCTGAGTAAATTAAGATAAGTTGGAGAATAGTGTGGGCATGGTGTGAGAAAGTAATTATAATAAGTATTACTTATACCCAATGTTAAAGTCAGTCCTCACATGACAATAACAAGTCACAAGTAATGATGTGGTCCCAAATTACAATGGAACTTTAACCAATGAACTGGCTTACTGCATCTAAGGCCAAGTTCGGGCAAGGACCATTAGTCGACTAGTGGTTGATTTGTGACGTACCTTACGCCTGCGCACTAATAGCAAAGTGCGAACGTCTCTATTCGAACGCTGGTCAAAATGTCATTGCAAAACGTCTGGATCCTGGCTCCCTGCTGTACGTTATGAACGCGCGCGGCTATGGTTACCAGCGAAGCAACCAACCCCAGTAGGTTGGTTCCAAATAGTCGACTAGCGTAGTTAACCATCGTCGACTAGACAGAGTTCGGGCAAGCGTTAGTCGACCAATGGTTAACTATAGTCCTTGCGCGAACTTGCCCTAAGTATCAAGGAATTCAGGAAAAATTCTGCCAACCGGACACCACTTACATGTACCTGCCGCCAAACAACCAAATTTTCACCTCACCTTGTGATTTCAACCAAGAGGAATCCAGGAAAGAGTGGACATGCGAAAAAAAATTGGTAAAAATGTGTTTTTGGAGCACATTTTGCATGCACATGTAGTGCAGATCTGAGTTGAAGCAGCTGGTCAAAACTGATTGAAGTGTCTGGAACAGCGTTGTACGCATGACATCGATAACCATGACGTCGCATGAGACGTCGCATGAGCCGGCCAATGATAGTGCAATACGTCATTATGAATATTTATTTTCTCATGAATATTTAGTTTATTTCAATGGATACTTCAAATACGTCCAAAGATTGATCATTGCAACAGCGATCGTGCGCGGCCTAGCGGTTAAGAGACTCGTGTATCAAGCAAGCGTTCGAGGTTCGAATCTCGAAGAAGTGAGCGACTGATTGATAAATAGAAATTAAGGAAAGGAGGGGGTGAGAGTAGAGGAGGGAAAGTGGAGGGAATAACCATAAAAGAGGTAACTTTTGGCGCTAGAAAATTTATTGAAAAAAGTGGTGTCCGGTTGGCAGAATTTTTCCCATAATTCAATAAATGAATGGTTAGGTTCAGTTTGGCAGCTGCTCCACAACGAATGGGTAGGCATACTATTTTTGGTTTTAGATTTATTATTTAAAAAAAAAAAATTAGCACTCTTGACTTTTATTCATTTCATATTAACAAGTTACAATGTTTTCTTCTTAAATTAGCAGGTAAAATACAGAATACCGATGTCACCTATTTCTACATTTAAGTTCATACATGTATACCTCATAGATGGTCAATTATTTGCTAATAATAATGTTGAAAAAGAAAACATGAATTGGGGCTGGAAAATCATAATTCATAAGTAGTTTGGTCAGAAAATGGAAAGAATGTTGCATCCTGACGCCACTGGATACTCCTAGAACTATGAGGCTCCACGTAGTGGAGCCTCATAGAGTCAGAAGCCCGCAAAATTGTTGTCAACACAAAACACTAATTAAGTACAAAAACGTCGATTCCAAATAAGCTATTTCCCACAGAACCGCTGCACAGTTTGCCCCTAAAGTCCGTACAATACCTCATGACATACTCACGTTATGTGCACCCAACAAACATCGGTGGATTCTGTCTGTTTTTAGGCCAAAATGATGAAAAATATGCCCTTTCCGCACTGAGCCAACCTAACACTTGAAGCGAGCACGCGCGCTGATATATCGCAGTCATTTTCGGGTTCGATCGCTCGGAGCGCACCGCGGGGGGTATGGTGTAGGAGCGGATTGATAGTATGCGCATGCGTACAAGTGCAAGTACGTACCCCCCGCGGCGCGCTCCGAGCGATCATAGTTCTAGGAGTGGCCACTGGATACTTGATATCCTTATACTAGTACAGCTCATCTTGAGCTTAACTAGGATTTTGGTTGGTGCAGCGGTTGTGTAAAAAGTCTATGGAGAGTCAGGAAAATTTTTGTATTTCCTAACAAAATTGGAAATGATTCTCAGTCTCAGATTCATGTCTAATCATCATTTTTGCAATGACTGACCCTTTGAAAGAAATGATAACAAAGAAAAAAGTGGCGTCAGGTTGAAACATTCTGTCCCAGAAAATACTTGGAAAGACGTACTGCATGCTTCCTTTATTCAATATGCGATATTGTGTATTTGGGAAGCTTAATTCATTTTGTAATTATATAAAGAATTTACATTTTTTTGGATAAAATACATGTACCTAGGCCAAGGGGGCCTACCTCTTCAACTCCAGGTGTGGGCCGGATCGGTGTTCGGGCTCCGTGCCGAAAGAAAATCTGCACCAACTTCAGCTGCAAATCGGGTCTGTCTGTCAGCGCGTCCGTGTGCTCTTCCCTGACAGCAGAGCTCAGGAAACACCCGTTTTTGCTGAGATGTTTATCTTTGGTGTCCATTTTTGTGTATGAACTATGAACTTACTTTATATATGCTTTTATATTAACACTTTTCTCTACAACTTCTGTTCAGTACATGATGTAACCGCATGCGATGTTTATGTGCGGACGACCCGACCGGGATCCAAACTTCAATTGGGGATTTCAAACGATATATTGGCGGGCCTATATAGCACCTGGCTATTTCTCATGCGAAGGGTGACGTAAGAGAAATGAGGGCGGTATTCAAACTTAATGGTCACCACGTGGGATACCAGTAGCGAACCGGGCCTGTAACTTTCAGCAACTAATTTTATGACACAAAACCATGAACAGCATTCAATAGTTTGGTTTCAAATCATTTTGTTTTAAAAAGAAAAAACAATTCGAACAATTTGAACCAATAATGGCAAAAAAAACAATGATGTAAAAAAGTAAAGGCCCTAGGCCTCCTCTAAGCAAGACGTAAGAGCCCGTTGCAAACAAAGCAGCACACTCGACTGCGAATAACATGACGGAGGGGGGGGGGGGGATTTCGATACAAATTATGATATAAATTATGTCTGCTTTTCTCCTTGTTTCCTTGAAAGGAAAATGATCAGTAACACAGATGTTCATCCGCGAACAAAAACAGAAAAAAAAGTACAAAACATTTGCAGTTTTTATATTTACACTGCTGAGGCTTCAAGTTCCGGGTGTCTACATAGTATCATGTCATGTTTCTTCATGAAATATGCGAAGTTTTGTCTGCGATTAACTGCGTGTAATGCAAAGCGAAAGAAATCTGGGGGAAAAATATTATCACAACTGCTTTTTTATTTGTTTTATATGTAGGCTTTTATATTTAGTCAAAACAATTACGGAAGCTATCATGACCGCGCACTTCATATACTTCATTGAAATATTAAATAAACGAACAAAAAAGGTGTGTGTATATAATATATTTAAAAAACTAACAGTTTCTATATTTATTTACATTTATACTAAGGCTTCCAGCAGTTATTTGATGATGAGAATATTTTTCGTCAAACAATTAAATTTTTTGCACAATGAAGTGTTTCGTTAAACATACATGTAGGCCCACCTAGCTTCGATCACGCACGTTTACTGAGTACCAAAGGACAACGGCGTGAATTAAAAACAATTTAAGGAAGAAATTCACTCATTTAAATAGCTTCAGCTGTCGTAACAGAAATGCTTTGTTTATTATTATTGTCAGTGCGTAATTCATTGGGTAACTCCTATATCTACGAGTTCCGAAATATTGTACACGAAATGTATCATTGTAATTTTTAATCGTTCCACAGTGATTTCTATGAACACGCCTCCGAAACATTGTTTACTGAAATAATTTCATTTACACAAGTGTTCATCCCAATACATCATTTTAAAAGATACAAACTAAAAGTATGAAAGGTCTTTATTCCAGCAATTGACTCCCACTGGGATACTACCATGTTTTACTAAACAACTAATTTTCAATTATATTTAGACAAAAACGTTCCTTGATTACTCAAATTCCAATAAAATTGTACTTTACATAAATCATTCTGCCGCAGTCGTTTGAAATGAAAAAAAATAGATTAAATTGTGCGACAAATTTTCATAATTATTTTCCATCAAATCCTTCCTTACAAATCACTTTACCGAAGTCTTACGAAAAATGTGAATAAATGCATGCATATAAATCGGGGCAATACGCAGTGGGGCGATGGGGGAAGGGGGGCAACGTGCTCCCAGCTGATATTCGTGCCCCTTCCCCGGTGTCCACCCCTGGTTTAAAATGTTAAAGAGAAAAAAAATATATATACACTGCACTATTGAAATGTGCCTAATGCACTCCCAGGTGCCCCGCTCCAGAAATTAAATCATAATTATAGTTATGCCAGTGAATATGTTACATATTACACCCTTTATTTGTACAAGCAAAAGTAATTCGTCGCAGTGAAGACGATATAAACAAAACTGACCCACCCTTGCAGTGCTGGCTACATGTAGTTTCAAAACGTACATTCAACTTATTTTGTTCCACTCATTTCAATAAGCTGCCAAGGCTGAAATCGAAAGAATAACCAATATTGGTTAAAATGTGTCTGACCAATCCGATTGGTTGAACACATAATTAACCAATATGTGGTTGTTGTCAGCCAATCTGTTTTTATAGAGTGTTATCAAAAGCGAAAGGGCGCGCTTCTTGATACACGAGAGAACAAAAAAAACAAACCATTTCTGCGTATAAAAAAAAATTATGTATTAGACATTATTTTCTTTGATCCAGGCCTTTGATAAACATCTAGCAAATATTATAAACACTACATTTTGGTGATCTCTAGACGAAAGTACGAAAGTGCACTTGTAAATCTATAGCACGTCGAATGTTCCTTGCAAACATTTTACATGTACGATAAAAAAAGGAAACAATATCGTCACAACAGAGTTGAAACTGAAGTGAACATCTTAGAAAGCCGGGTCGCCTTGACGAACTGCAGACATCTTTTCCACCCACGTGATCATGTTAGGCAGATGACTTCGGCAATATTACTATGACGAGTTGTTTTGGCCATGTTCACTGTTCCTGGTCTATGCGTTTCTCACTCATCTACTCAGTTTTAAGAAGAAAGAAAGGAGAAGCCAGATACCTTTCCCCACCCAGACACGGCAAGATGACTCTAGTTCTGGTTTACTTTCATGGTCTCCTGGTGACGTTACTCCTATTGGGTATCAGGTAGGGATCCTCACTCTCTCCTTGGATGCTTTGTGGGGTCACATTCTGTCCTCTTCTCATCTCGTCAACTCCTTCGAGCAGAGACTCGTGTGTGGCAGATCTGCCATTTCGAGGTTTTCTTTGAGCTACCAGCGACACTCGTTGTTCATGTTTAGGCATCAGATCATTAAGAGGAATTTCCGAGTAATGATGGTCCACTGGCTCTGTTTGAGTGGTTCCTGATTCGATGGTGTGAAAGTACACGGGGGATCCTCTTCTATTGGTTGGGATGGAGGGTGAGGGTCGAAGTGTAGGGAAACCTTCGGGTCTCAGCTGAGCACGGATCCGGACCTGACGGGCCAAGGGAGGCTTTCTGATCTTGAGTAGGTAGACGACGATGGCAACAATAGCTACAAGGCTGAGAAGGCTGAGAATGCCACCAATAATCGGCCAGAGTGCTGTCACAGACTGATGCGTGTTGGTATCAGAGACGATATGTGTTGGGCGAAGGGTTGAGGCGTTAGAAGGTTGCGTCGGCTTGCGTGTGCTGCTGTACAAATCAGTTGACAGTTCGGCCGAACTGGGCCTAGAGTTGGGTGGAACCAAAATTATCTGGTGCCAAGGACTCGACTCGTCACAGTGTTTGGCATTTGTGGTCTCGCATTTTACTTGGCTTTGGTTGTCTGAGACCATGAGCGGTGAAATGATCAGTCGATTTGCAAAAGTCAGGAACCTGTCGGTGGTGTTGATTATTATAGTCTGGTTGTCTGCTCCCTTCAAGTGCCATGTAAACGTAGGTGAATGTTGTTGAGGGTCAAGTTCACAGCGAATCTCTCCTTCGCCACCCAAAACAAATCCTTCACTTCCAGTTCTCACTCTGGGCGTTTGACACACTTCTTCGCCCTCCGCAACTAGTTCTTTGCTTTCGGTAACTCCCACAGATATGTGAACGGATGTTTCAGATTCGACAGCTTGATCCGTCACGTTGAGTATTGCGTTATCATAATCGAAGACGTCGAACAAGTAGCTTAATACATGGCAAAAGTACTCCCCGCTGTCAGCTGAAGAAACTTGGTTGATTACCAGCGTGTAGATGGTTTCATTTCCAGTGCTATTCAGATACACTGAATACTTCTCGACATCGGATGAATAGTAAAGTTGGGAGCAGAGAGTCAGCACTGTACGATAGTCACTGCCAATTGGACTCTTTGTCCAGTAGATATTATCTCTTGAACAATTAAGCTGCTTGTTAATTCGACATGTGAATATCGCAGTTCCACCCTCAGCCACATTTTGCTCCCGTGGACTCACAGAAAGCTCAGGTTCTGATGCGGAAGACATTTGCAGTAAAATGCACACAAAGATTGAGAGAACATCAAGAGCCATTGTCTCTCTGATCCAACCAACCTGGGAAATAAGATGCAGGGCCGGCTATGTCGCAATCAATTCTGGAAGATTATTAATATACTGACCTATGCATATATATCCTACACCTGGATTTTACACGCAAGTACGTGTTTAACGAAAGTAAGCGACAAACTGTTGATAGATGTAGTTTAAACATTTACTCATAGCTGTATCCCGCATTATAAATATTTGAACACCTTTTCAGTTCCTGCTTTCAAAATCATTCATTTCAACTTGTCAATGCTGAAATCTAAAGAAGCGAATGCTGGCGCGCTTGTTAAAGTTACAGAGATTGACTTTCTGAATAAATGAGTGCGAAAAAAACCCGAACACATAATAGTTTGGGATACGTTTAAATACTCTCTTTTTGCATATTATAAAATCTGAAGGTGTAGTAAATACTCTACACAATGGACTTTATGCCATCTCATTGTTTTGGACCAGAGATTCTGCTAATTAAATGAACTGACTTGATTTCCAAGTTGGGTCACTTGGTGTCTAATGAAAGGCATTCACATAGAATGTGAAGAAAGTGGCCCCAACAGATTTTGACAGTCTTTACAAGCTTTGTCGTAACTTTTAATCAGAAGGTCCAAATCACACAGAACAAAAATCCTGTCAAGGTACAAAAAACACTCTATCATCTCATGGTAATTTTTGTACAAAATTTTTCTTTTTTTACTTTTCTCAGAAAAAAAAGGTGTTTGACTGCTACGTTTGTTTTGATACACCCTGTAGATGCACCGAAATACTTTTAAACGTTTCACAGAGAACTTAAACGTGCAGCACATTATATACAATTATAGCTCCTGAATAAATCCTCGTCATCTGATTGGTGAGTCGTTGATCACGTGTCATTGATTTATTCGTCCAAACCCACGACACAAAATCAGGACAAAAATGAGAGTTCTATTCCACTGTAAATAGAAGTTCAATTGCACGGCCACACAATTCGTGGCTCTGACCAATCAGATGACGAGGATTCAGTTTTATAAAACAAATAGTGTTTCTCATTTTCCACCCACGTGATGTTAGGCCGATGACTTCGG